ATTTATATTTAGCATTTAGATTTAATATTTAGATTTAACATTTATATTTATATTTAATATTTAGATTTAGATTAAGATTAAATATTTAGATTTAACATTTAACATTTAGGTGACACATTTAATATTTAGATTTAACTATTAATATATTTCTAAGTTAACAAATATTGCTGTAAATGTGGTAAAAGGTGACGTTAAAAAATTCACAACACTCTTTTAAACATTGTTTGAAGCTAAATGTGGCAAAATGTTGATGTTATTTTCAGCGTGAGCCACTTTACAAACGGCACCCCATAATTAAGACCTCACAAATTCAAATTTAAGACTATTTATTGACCTTTAATGATTTATACTTATAGTGGAGGGACCCACAGAGAACTTGATGAAAGTATAAGGTCTCAAGTAAAACAAGTAAGACATTATAAACTTGTCATAATTAAGAAAAGAACAGTCAAAACGATGGCTCTGTTCTATTTAAGTGTCCTCCAATAACCTGACAGTGTGACAGTGAGTCAGCACACAAAATAAAATACCCTGACACTGAAGCAAACTCACAGCCATCTTTTTTTTTAATTACACCTGTCCTTTGCCCATTTATGACATGTCAAAATGTCCCTGTCTTGTTTATCTCATGGTCGCCAAAATGCGCCAGTAAACAAAAGACAGGTAAGAAGAAGAGTGCAAATTAGTAAACATTGGATTTTTAAGATGAATGAAACGCATTTATCCAGTTATATATTGAAACACGGAAATGTCTGCTTCAAATTAAATACATGGATTTATGACGGGAAGTAGGTGCGTAAGTTTACGGAGTTTACCTCAACATGCAGCGATACATGTTTGCAGTAGCTACTACTAACACAACTGCTATGGAAGTAAGTCCCAAGTTGACACACTGGCTGCAGTTGTTTCAATCCAGTATCTTTGGTTTCAAGCGGTTTCAAGCAGTGCTCCTCTGTTTCTTCTCCGTTTACACTGTCGGTCTGGAGGCGGATATACGTGTTACCGCCACCTACTGGAGTGGACTGTAGAGCTCGTCTACATCTGTTTGTACTAATATTATAGTTTAGTTTAGTTTATTTACTTTATTAATCCCCCTGAGGGGAAATTCAATGTTTTCACTCTTGCTTGTCAATTACACACACATGCACAAACAGGACCTATACATGCACAAAGTGGAGAGAGATGTTAGAGTGAGGGGGCTGCCCTTGGGGGGGGGGTTTGGTGCCTTGCTCAAGGGCACCTCGGCAGTGCCCAGGAGGTGAACTGGCACCTCTCCAGCCACCAGTCCACGCTCCATATTTTGGTCCAGACGGGGACTTGAACAGGCGACCCTCCGGTTCCCAACCCAAGTCCCTATGGACTGAGCCACTGCCACCCCACCAAGCATGTGGAGAATGCGGGCATTATGAGGGGAAACAAAGTACTCAGCTCATTTTACTCAAGTAAAAGTACTAATACTAGCCTGTAAGTCCTGTATTTAAAACGTAGCTTAAGAGAGAGTATAGTCTAAGTATAATCATAAAATGTACTGTTAAGTGTTGCTACTCAATGCAGAAGTGTCCCCATGTGGAGATGTCTCATTGGGATTTTACTGGTGTAGTTGACTGAGGTGGAGCTTTTTTTTTTTCCAGTTTGCATTGGACTTATTTTCTCCACTGATTGTTTGGCCGGAATTGAGCCTGCGCCTGCTGCAGCCAGGGCACAGCCTCTTACATATGGGGCGCCTAGTCTATCCACTGAGCCACTGGGCACCCCAGCCACTTTATATTTTAAATTTCAATGTCAGAGAAAAATATAGCACGTTTTACTCTACTGCATTTATTTGACCACTTTATTTACATTATAAGTTAAGATTCTTACAAAACATACAAAAAGCTTATTGTTGTAAATGTAATCACCAAATAGCTTAATCAACAATTGATGTAATGATTAGTTTCTTTAGCAATTAACAAAACAAAACAAACAAAATATGGCAGATGTTTTCAGACAGTGAAAGTGTCATACTTTCAGTTCATTTCAATTTTTTTTTGCCTAAATATACATTTTGGATTATTTCAGGGATCTAAAGATTTAAGTTGGTGAATGGGGTAAAATTTTAAACTAGTAGATATCACCATGAAACTTCCCCAGTGGATTATTTAATTAACAGCAATTATTTTTATATTACAAGTTTTCTATTATGTTATGTTTAAATATGCAAAGGAGGCATTACCTAATTAAATATGTGCTGATTTGTGGACATTTCCAAAACAAAAATCTAAACACTGTATAAAGCCAGGTTCAAAATGTTGTTTCACTTTGTTGTCATACTAGAGTCAAAGGTTTTTACAGAGGAAATCGTGGAGGTCTTAGTTCATCATTCCACAAATACAAAAATACTGTTAACAGCCATATATAAAAAAACATAAAATAAAAATTTCAACATGTTTTTGGGAATAAGACTATGAATTGTTGGCTCAGAATTTTTTTTTTGAAAATGGCCTTTAAAGATATGAATTGTAAAATTCCATTCATTGTTTGACAAAAAATAGGACACTAGAGTAAACATTTTTAGTCACAGATATCACCATGAAACTTCTTCAGTTGATTACTTAAGATAATTTTTTTTTGTATTTTTTTGCTTTATGAAAATGTGTTTAAATATGTTCTTTCTGCGTAAATTTCCAGAACAGAAATCTGAACTAAAATAAACACCTATATGTGTATTTGGGACGTTTTCCTACCACTAGTCTGACAGAAGACGTGTTATGGAAGCAAAATAGCCCAAAATCTCAAAATTGACCAGTGCATGAAAAAACTAGCAGCCAAATTGTTTTGCAATTTAAAAAATTTATTTACACTTTTTAAATATATTCTTCTATACAATTTAAAAAAAACTACATCACAACGATGCATTTACATTTGTAATTACACAGCATGATTTCTTACAACGCAGTATTTTTGACAGAAAAATGACAATAAATAGCTGCACAGAAAATCAGTGCAACATGTTTAAAGTCCTATGATTGGCTTTTGGACAGAATTATTTGTCACATGAACAGCTATTAAAAAAAAAAAAACATCAGAAGGATCTCTACTGAACTAGGTTAAGGCTCAAACAGACCACTGGGCTGCTGTTTGTATAACCCACATGACATTTACAGTACTTAGAACTAAGGATAGACCGATACATCGGCCAGCCGATATATCGGGCCGATATTTGAGTTTTTTACTTGTATCGGCATCGGCCGATACGCACATGGGTTCGCAGATTTATTTTTCCCTGGCACTTTTTTTCATTTGAAAGTATGTGGTTAAGTTGAACAAAGCTGTTGAATCCTACTGTGTACAGTAGTTGTTTTATTTATGCTTCAGCTTAAATATTTGTTTATTTTATAAAGACATTACTGGAAGATTTAAGAGCACTGAACTCTTTTTTATTTGAATGTATAATAATAATAATAATAATATTCTACCTGTTCTACCTCAACTTTCCATCTTGTTTTAGTATTTTTTACTGTTCAATAAATGTTTCTTATTTTAAACTTGAGACCTGTAATATTTGTTATCATTGTGTCATTTTTTGATGTAAATTGAGGGAGCAAAAGCAGTATTGGCCCCAAATATCGGCTCAAGATAATCGGCAGTCCATAATCGGTCATCGGCTAAGGGTGATGGAAAAAAATCAGTATCGGCATCGGCCCTAAAAAAATCCATATCGGTCTATCCCTACTTAGAACTGGCCAAAAGAAGAAGAAATCTAATGGCAATATATTATGTGAATCTCTCATGTAGCGTACTGTCATGTACCTGAGAAATGATGTGAAAGTGAGAATGACCGAAGATGAAAAAACCTGCTGAGGCACTTCACAGGATTAATGCGAACTCGCTCTCCAGTAGAGTATTTTCAATAAGCCAAAATTATGAATGAATGAATAATTATTCCTGCATATACAGCACACGTGATAATACTTGTGGTAAAACTTTTTCACAATGCATCAAGAGAAACAACTGTGTCTGTATAAAGTCAGTACCTCTTGAGAATCTGTTTCCATAAGGCAAAAAAAACAGGTCAGTGTAAATGAAAGCAGCTCTGAGTTTCTTGAGGTAAAAAAAAAAAAGGCACTGACAGGACTGAGGTTGTTGTATATAAATTGAAGTGCTATGTACAAATACTGAAGATTAAATTATCCCTGTGTACATATAGAACAGCCACAGTAAATTTCCATTTTTTAATCAACTTCTCCCAAACCAAGAGCATAGATGTTTTAGTGTGGGTCCAAACTGAAAGAAAATATACAATAAATGGAGAATGTTAAAACCTCCAAAGTTTAATTCATCAGTCACTTTACCAAATATGAGATTAGAGGACCAGCAACGAGTTGTACTAAATTTTTGTTATTCAAGGTGTTCAGACTCTCTTTTATTTACTTTTAGGATATTGCTCATTAGCACCCACAAGAGTTTGGTGTGAATCCTCTTGGTGCCTACAGCACCAGCAGCTCAGTACATACATGGATTTTTGTAGCATCCAGAGGAAGTAAGGAAAAGAAAGAACGCAGCCTCTATATACGTAGAAGTGCCGAGTGCTGTTTCTCTGTGGAGAGCTCATACTGCTGCTGTTTGATGATGTCCAGGCAGTCTCTGAGAATCTGAAACACATGAAGATTTGGGGGAATAAATGTTAAAGGGGACCCACTCTGCTCATTTTAAGGCTTGTGCTTGTTCTTTGGGTTTCTACTAGAACATGGTTACATGCTTTAATGTTCAAAAACACCTAATTTTCCTTATACTGTCTGTGTCGGAACACCTGTATTCACCCTCTGTCTGAGACACTTTGTTTTAGCACCTCTCTCTGTAAGCCCCTTTCCTAAAAAAGCCTAGTCTGCTCTGATTGGTCAGCGTTTCCAGGTCTTCTGCACTGTCTACCATGGAAAAAGTCACCAATAAAAGGTTCAAAACACAACTGGATATACTCCAAAATCAGGGAGACATTTACAGCACCAGCAACAAAGATTACATGTTTGATTACATGACGTTAGCATATGTAGGAGCATAAGCACTTACAGATGCATGCCTGGAACAGATGACCATATAAAGAAATCTGTCACAAGCTGACGTCAGCTTGTAGGCAAAGTAGGAAAAAAAACGCAGGAATCCGAATTCCTTACGGTCTGCAACCAAAGGTTTTTACTCACAGGTATCACTTTTACAAAGCTTTACAGCTTTATTTGAAACTTGGGCCACGTTTCATTCATGTATGAATGTCCCACATTGTAACATTATGACAGAGCACAAGGGAAAGCATAATAAGTTCCTTTTAACATCTGCACTGAGAGGTCCAGATGGGTGAGAGCTCCTAAATGCCCCTAAGCCATTTAGCAACATCTTTAAAATGCTGTTATTTTACCTTCCTGGTGTCCTGAGGCAGAATGACTCCATCGTCCCAGAGCCGGCCGGTGGAGAAGAAAGCGGAGCTCTCTTCCTCCAATCTCTTATTTAACTTGACCTCCTCCTTCTTCCTCTCTTCCTCCTCCTGCTCACTGTCAGGGGGAAGCAGAGAGCCGGCATGACCCGGAGCTGTCGTTGACACTCTAGCATTGGGCCACAGGAACAGGAAATTAGGGTCAAATGCCCGCCCACACTGGAGACAAACAAAAGAGAAGGTTTTAATCATTGTGGTATAAACCCTGTATCCTAAATCCTACATGAGTTAAATGTATGATTCCTGCAGTATAGTATGTCTATATAGTTTTTCTATAGCACTTAGCTGTTTGTTGTTGCAACTTAAAAAACCCAGAAGTTTCTATGCACATTTTGATTTTTCTTTTTTTTCCCCCAGTGGAGTACTTGTTTAAAGAATCAGGACTGAGTGTTACTAAAGAAAGACTGTGAAATGAACAAGCACAAAACAAAAGAAAAAACAGCTTAAATATCTGAGGTGTGACAGATGCAGTTACTTAGAAAGATGGTCCGCTGTTTATTATCCGATAACTTGAGCTATGTTTTTCGGAGACTCTCACCATGGTGTAGCTGTCGGCACCATGGCAACCACCAATCACCACAGTGATTTTGGGGACTGAGGCACACGCTACTGCTGACATCATTGAACCCTGAGCCTTCAGACGGTTACTGTTCATCTCTGCCTGAAGAGAGAGAGACACAAACAGAAAATACTGATCTGACATAGAAAATATAGAAGTCATTGTGGCTGACACTGACCAAGATTATTTGTCTACATCCTGCCTTTGATGTCTCAAAATATCTGCATAAAACTGAATTCATAATAATAACTTCATCGGGTTTTTGAGTTTTGTGTATGTTTTTGTGTTTCACTGGGAGTGAATACCTGTGCTGTGGAGAGTGTTAGAGCTCCTGTGGGTGCTGTGTTCTGAAGGAAGATGAGGGGAATATTTCTCTGGTCACACAACTGGACAAAATGACTTCCTTTCAGTGCAGCTTGGTACGACAGCTCTCCGTTGTTGGCTACTATTCCCACCAGGTGGCTAACAGGGCATAAATACACAGATGTGAAAACCAATACTCGCATATATAACAAATAATACAAATAATAAGGTGCCATACATATGCCATGTTGGTTAAAGTCATGTGTGCTGCCCCTACAACAATGACAGCCCAAGCTATGATGCTGCTGAAGCTTAGCCTGATAGTTAGGCTGCTAACTCAGTATTGATACTGCTTTCTAGGCATCCATACACATATTAAAACGAACACATGATACAAACACAAATAACAGTCTGATCAGTTCAGTCCAGCACATGAGTTTGTCCCTACAAGTACTATGTGGCAGGTAGCTATTGGTCAGGGACAGCGTTGTTCTAGTCTCCTGTCTTCTGGTGTCTGATCTGATTAAGACATTGCTGAGTGCTAATCTCATGAGGGTGAGGGGTCACTGAGTTTGTAAGTGGAAGAGGTAAACAACGCCTCACACCCATTTTTACAATAAAAGAGAAATAACAGCATCAGTATGACCATTAAAAATAATTTGTGCAACCAAAAACACAGAAACTATAGATTTCATTGGCCAGATTTAACAGCACAGTGCAAATTCATTGTGATTTTTATTCAATCTGTACTAGAATCTGCTCATAATATGCTTTCACAATAATCAAACATTTGAAGGATTACATTGACATGTTAAAATAATTCTTATTTTAACATCACTGAAGACTTAAACTTGCTGTATGATGGCTGAAGAGCGTGTGTTGTCCCTGCCCCCGCTATCTAAATCTATTTGTGTGTGTGTGTGTGTGTGTGTGTCATTTACCCATGTATCTTTGCAAAGCCGGTGATGAGTGTGGTTCCATAGCGAGCTTTAAACTCCTGGAAGCGGCTCCCATCTGTCAGTCGACTGACTACCTGGACAGACAGAAACAACACGACAGACATAATGTGAAACCAGCCTTTCCTCAATCCCGCTGACTGTATAATTTGCCATGAACTTTGAAGAGATCATCTATAAAACTCCAAATTTCCGTTTTGCTTTGTCTTTATTTTGGTGCCAATCACTGGGGTACTCTTGCACTGCACTTCTCAGAGAAAACATCATGAAAGCCCAGTTCAGACCAAAGATTCATGACAAGACAAGCTGAAACAGGTGGAGGTGGAGCACCTGCCGCAGCAAGCAAACATGTTGTCTACAGTCATTTTGACTTGACCAGCACTTCACTGCAAGCTAACTGGCTACAGAATCAGGTGACGTGCTTTACATTCTAAAACCAGTCGCCGACAATTTGACCAGCTGAGTTGCAGGCGACACCATCAGCCAGCTTGACTCGAGCTCAGACTGGCCGGTTCACACTGCTGCAACTTCTCTGCAACGTTTCGTCTCGTCATAAATCATTGGTCTGAACTGGGCTTTAACAAGTCGTTATGTCTTGTTAATGTGAAGTTGTGCAACCGTTAAGTTTGTCTGTGGATGGCGCTGCCTTTACTGCTCAGGCTAACTACTCAGTCTACATGGTAATAGCTTTGTTTATTTCTACTGCTGCATACTGTACCATCTTAACATCCAGACTGTGGTTATAACTTCTGGGAGCCAGCCCCAGAAGCTCCTCTGAACTGTACAGCGGCTCCTCCTCTGCTTTCCTCTTCCTCGTCTTCTCCTCATCCTCATCCTCTTCCTCAGGCAGTTGGAAGTTGAGGGTGGACATGATGTTTCTGGTGTCATGGTAAGCCTGTTTTTCATCCCAGGCAAAATGGTCCACACAGCCACTCACCCTGAAACCAGACCATGGATTGACAGACTTGATGATGTGAACTTATTTCTTTAATAACTGTACATTTGGGGTTGGTTTATGGACCTACTCAGCGTGAAGCGTGGCTCCTCCCAGGTCTTCTGGTGTGACCTCCTCTCCCGTGGCGGCCTTCACAAGTGGCAGTCCACCCAGGAATATAGTCCCTATCCGGTGCACCATCACTGTCTCTTCTGCCATTGTGGGGATATAAGCCCCACCCGCCGTGCACGACCCGCACACCACTGACACCTTTAGAGTCATTGATTGTTTGTTTTATTAAAATAGTGCTTTAAAGAATGCATTTTTAAAACTGTGCTTTTATCCAATTCTTATGTGGATTTGTCTCTTTTCTGTCAGAACATCAGCTTTAAGACTTTAAAATTCTTGCAAACCATACAGTCTGCATAGGTGAATGGGTTACAGAAATTAACTGAGGGGAAATCAAAAGAATTCTTCACACAGTTGGTCATTTTCACTGTCTTTATCAACAACATTTGGTCCTTAGACACAACCTTTTCTGTTAATTTAACAGGTCTAAAGTCTGGGATGTCATTAATTAAGCGAGTATGATTCACTAACAGTGTACAACATTTCAAATAAAACACAAAAAGGCTGTTACAGTCCCAAAACATGGACTGCATGCATTTCTACCTTCTATGGCACTTTTAACTACATCTCATGCTTTACTCCAGGAATAGAGATATGTAAGTTTTGAAAATTGTAAAATATTTATTACAACAAATTAATTCATTCACAGTCTTTTCTAATTTCTATCTTATATTGTTTATATTTGTTTACCTGTGGGATCTTCATGGCAGACATGATGGCTTCATTATAGAACGTCCTTCCTCCGTGATTTCTATCAGGAAAGATGTCTGACTGGATAATTACACACACACACACACACACACACACACACACACACATTTAGAGATTAAAACAGCAGTCAGTATAATTTAGCTTACATTCAGATCTCCTGAAAAGATGCTCTTTTGATGCTAACCTTTTATTGTGGAAGAGGTGTGTGTGTTTACCTGCAGTGGTAGAAAAGCTCCTCCAGAGTCAACCAGGTAAACACAAGGCAGACGATTTTGTTGCGCTACTTCCTGTGCCCGTAGCTGCTTCTTCACCATGATTGGATACGCCGTGCCACCTTTCACTGTGGCATCATTGGCAATAAACACACACCACAGGCCGTTGATCCTGCCAATGCCTGGAGGGATACACACACAAAAACATACAGTATAGGTCAGTCAAACTGGTCAGATTGTACAGTCTATAGTTAGTATGAAAGGTTCAGGATTGCAGTAAGTGGTGTCTGACCAGTCAGGCAGCCGGCTGAAGGGATGTCCCCGTACGGCAGACCCAGACCAGCTAATGGTGACAGCTCCAGGAAGTCCTCATCATCCAGCAGGAGGCGCAGCCGATCCCTGACCAACAACTTCTTGTTTCTCTGAGTGTGTCTGGCAATGCTCTTTTCCCCTCCACCTTTTCTCACCTTTTCACTCAACTCTATGAACCTTACAGAGAGAAAGAGCTAATGAAGCTTTTACAAATTAATTTCAATAAATAATTGAGCAAAGGAAAATCAGCTACAACCAGAAACAATAAACAGCCAAAAGCAGAACCTACTTCTTATGGCAGGTGTTGCTGTTTCGGAGGTTGGCTTCATACACATGTTGGTGGATGGGCTGGAGGGGCTGCTCCAGCACTGGGAAGGCACTACGCAGAGCTCTCCTCCTGACTGCAGAGCTCATACAGCGGACTGAACACTGCCAACGCCGCTCAGCCAGCCTGCAACACAAGATTCATAAATAATGTTATCTCTGATGGAAATGGTATGGGATGAAATATATTAGTAAAAAGTTTGTGGCCTGTTGACAACACAACAAAAAAGATGTGACAATTACAGAGGACTATCTGAAATCTGTAGTAAATGTATGTAACATAATGCAAGTATTAACTGATAGTATTTCAATAAATTATAGAAAAAGTAAGCAGACAGACTGAGTGGGAGTAAAAACATAAAAAAAATATTTTTTCCTCCCACAAAATCTAAAATTATGTATTCTTGCTCAATGTGACTAAAGTTGCCGGGTTCATTTTTTTTTGCATGTAAGTAGGTCATCATTTCATCACAGGAGTCCTAGTAGTTCTAGTCCTAGTGATGTATTCACCTGTGATGTCCCTCCTCTGTCGTGTTTCTCAATGTCCATAATGGTGGCTGGGTGTGTGGAGGCACAAAGGCAGCACACACTCTTCCTCTGCTACACACACTCCTGTTAGGGACAGAAAGAGAGCAAACAACAAAAACAAACAGGTGGGACTTCAGTCGTTTGTCAGGTACAATACCTCCGGGGCAGGATTAATTAACAGTCTACTGATAAATGACAGATATAGCACAGTGGTAGCGTTAGCACTGTCGCCTCACAGTTACAAGATTCTGGGCTGGAATCGGACCCGGCCAGCGAAGGTATATGTTGTATGTTGGCAGTTGGCACTGATTTTTTTAGGGTATCTCTCCAGTGGCCTACAGATTCTGTGATTTAGAAACTCTTAAATATCCTGTAGTTCCAGTTTTCTACTGTCTTTGTCTTATGTCAGTGATTTCTAAACTTGGGGCAAGACCACAAGGTGAATATAAGGACTTGATGAGATACATCATGGGATAGGATAAGAAGAAAAATTGATTGATAAAATATGAATTCTTATCTCTCCCTTTTGTTGTTAAAAAAAAAAAAAAAAAAAAAAAAACGGTTTTCCTCTTTGGGCCACTAATGTGTTCTCAAACAGGACAGTATGACAAGTTTAGAGGTAAAACTTGTATCTCAAAGACTTCTGACAGCTGCAATGAGGGGGCACAAGGACACACTGATTTAATCTAAATGGTCAAAAGCCTTACATGACCGAATTTTTGGCTGTAAAGTATTTTCTGACATTTTAGGAGCCAAACAAGTATATTTTGATTTTGATTGTCTCATTAATGTGGAAAAGGAAGACAGATAGAATATTCATTTCATTCAGTTTATTCTTTTGCCACCGTGGGTTTACTCAAACATTCTGTTGGTAGTAGGCTAGAGTTTTCAATTTTTTTAATCATTATTTTTTATTTGTGTGTCTTTATTTTATTTTATTTATTTATTTATTGTTATTTGTTTTTTGGGGGAATTTTCATGATTTTTTTTTTTGTATTTTTATTAATTATATTTATATATTTTATATTATTAATTTAATATGTATTTTTTTTATTTTATTTTTCTTTCTTTGTTTTCTGCTGTTTTTGGGCAGTGTTCCATATTTCAGAAGTCACAGTTTAACTGATAGTGTCACACTGATGTTTGGTCAGAACAGTAACCTCACAATTATTGACAGGTTTTCTGTAAACACTCTTTCATTAAAACTGCTTTATGGTTCTTGATTTGTAATTTGTTGATTTTGCTTTTCTGTGATCACTTACTGCTAACCAGACTTAGCCGTAACTTCCAGATCAGGCTAATACAACAATCTAGGTAACTGTTCAATTAATGGTAAACTATATTTTTACTTTTCCCGTTGTGGACTCTATAAATATGTTTATTGCTTACTAGATAAATCACCTTGTTCCTTCCCATGGAGTCTCAATGTTGCCCTTTCAATGCTGATATTTTGTAACTAACTTGACAGTTAATAATTTACTAAATCCTGTTTTATTGTTACTGTAATAATTAATTTTTTAAAATACCTCAATGATTTTGTTTTGTGCTGTTTTCACACACTAACAGTTGCTTCCAGCTCCTGTCTTTAACCTTTAACCAAAGTGTGCTGAGCTTGTTGTATAGCTGAGCACTCCCACATGAGGGCAGAGGAAGTTTTTCTTTTGATTTCTCAGTACTGGACTACATCTGTGTAATCATTTACTTAATTAAAGGATCTGAGTGCTTCCTCCATCAACAGCAGTAAGATACATTTACTCAAGTACTATACTTAAGGACAAATTTGAGGAAGCTGTGAGTATCTTAATTGAATAGCTTCTATTTCTAAGTCATTAAAATTCAAAGTACATACTCTACTGAATATGTATTTAACTGCTATAGTCACTAGTTACTTCACATAAATAAAACTACTGTAATTTGTAAAATAATTAAAGTTTGCTCCACCATGACCTCTATGACCAAATACTGCAGTAACATGCTACTTAGACAATACATTTCAACAGTAATGTGAAAATATAAAGTGTATCGCAGACCACTCTCAGGGGCTCTGACTACGTTACTTTTCATACTTATCATATATTTTACATGCAGGGCTTTCACTCATAATGAAGTGTGTTATCCCTACTAAACTGCATCCTCATATTAACACACATACATTAACATAATAGCACTACGTGTACCTGCAACTAAACATTTAAATACAGATGGACTGTAAAACACTCACTTCCATAAGTACATACATACATTATATAGGCTATAGGTTAGCTATATATGGCGTCATACACACAACATACAGACACATGTTCATATTCAGTCGCATGAATCTAAACATATTAACAGTGTTGAGTGAAACAGTTTTGCAGTGACATATGGACAACATTTGGTGCAAATCGTTAGCTTACTGTTTACAAATATCAATGTGTGCTAAAGGTCGCACAGACATCTGAGTGCACCTTGACTGATGAATAAATGTGGATTTGTGGATGGAAAGTATGTATCGTCTCTTACCTTGCCATGCAGCGGTACATGTCTGCCTGTGTTCACTGTAACACAGCTAATAACACAACTTAAATGACTAAAAATTACCCCGAAACACAGCCACTCTGTCTTCTTTCTTATTTGAGTTTTAATGGCGGCTGGCAAACCAGCTTTCAGGCGCATTACCGCCACCTGTTGGAGTGGAGTGTGGAGCAGTGGATTGGCAGGAGACCAAATTAAAAACCGACTTTGTCATTCATGTTACTCTAAAGTAAATAAATAGAAGCTTATGTACATTTCTTGACGTCTTTCCAAGTAGATTCCCTAATGTAATTCTGTGCTTTTCTTCACTTGGTCCTGTTATTAACTCCCTTCTTTCTTCTTCATACCTGTTGCAATGTATTAGTAGGGGAGACTGGGGTTGGTTGTCACATAGCGTACTTATTACAGCCACACTAGAGGGCGCTGTGACATTAGATTGATATCAAACAATTGGCTTGACATTCTGCTCATTTTGCACTGTTCATTTTGTGGAACACACACAAAACATTGAGGTGATGCAGTGTTTTGTCATTTTTATGGGTCAGAGTAATTTTTTATATCGATATTGTTCTCATACTAAAAGCATGTAGGTTATTAGTCATTTACAACTCTGTTTCTGTCTCTGTTTGATACACTGAAGAAGGCTTAGGCCGAAACATTTGTTTGACTGTGTGTTGCCCTAGTAAATTATACATTTTGACTTTTTTGTCTTTTGTGAGTGCTGTTGCGCACAAGTTTTTTGGAATCATTCTGCAACTTGCACCAGTTGTTTTAAAAATATTGGAGTTGTGCGTCCTCCTTTCTTCAGCTTCATTTACAACTCAAACACTTGGTAAAAATTCAAAGGTAATAGCTTTGAATTGAGGCAACTTTTAGCTAGCAAGCTAAAGCCATGTGGTAGCTAGCTTAAAATGTATTGCTGTGTCTCAAATCGCATACTTCTGTACTAACACTTAATATTTTGAGTGCATAAGTGCGTTCACACTGGGGAGTATGGAAAAATGCAGTGAACTATGAGTACCCGGATGGTGCACTCAAAATGGTCAAGAAGTTGAGTGTGGAACTATGGAAACTTCTCGCCCTCAATGGTCGCCATCTTGGCTACGTAGCAGAAGGTGAGGGACCACTTTTCAAACTGGAAATGGCGGCCGAGGACTGTGTGACCGTGAACGTCGCTGCATTGTACAAATGTAAGTTATACATGGGGTTGAGTGCACCAAGCACCCCTATGCTGTTGTCGGATATAAACCAGCAGTATGTTTATTGGGTTAATTTAGCAGTCTGTAATGATTTGGTACAGCGAACGATAATGGGAACGCTAATGCTAGTTTGCTAACTAGCTAATTTGTGGTCGTCATTTACGGTAAGTGCACAATGGCCGTGTTTGGTTTGAGACAACACTACCCTGTCGAAATTCGTGCACAACGCCAATAAGTACATATTGCACATAGTATACTGCATATAAGTGTACTAACGGAAGTACACAGCACAAGTCAAGAGGTCAGTTGGGGATGGGTGTGTCGCTGCTCTGGGGGTTGGTTGTCACATGTGTGACAGTTCAGAAACAGCATGGCAAACATGTATTGTCTATATGTTCTCAGGTGTTTTTGATCTCTCTCTCTCTCTCTCACACACACACACACACACACACACACACAATGTTACTGTAGTTCCTCTTTCGAAAACAGTGTTGTGCCTAAACAGTCACATAGGCTGTTTGACATTTTAACAAAAGTTTCTGGTTATATTGAGATGGAGATTAATCTGCTCCAATCTCACTGTTTCATTTAATGTTATTTTCATAATGCATTGTTATGAAACAATGTCTTTTAATAAAGGCTAGTTTTTTTCAGCATTGTAAATTCCTTCATATTATTTCTCATTATAGAAGATAATTTAAACAAACAATAACCTAGTTCAAATTAGTTTAAACACAGGGGCATTGATGAGTACTATTATAAAAGTGGCATTCATTTCAAAACTTGTTTTGTGTTTCTATCTTAAAAAACTAAAAAGTTAAGCATGTTTTGTTAAATCATTTTTTTCTGGAACCCCATTGATAACTGCAGGGACAACCAACTCTGTGATGGGGTTGGTTGGTATGCCATCTAATCCAGTATGTCCTATCCTCAGACAGGTAATGATCATCTCCTCCCTTGGGCTCCCACTCCGTACCAGCACCTACAGTACATGCCTTTGAATACTGTATAGACATCTTCCTGTGTCACTGAGGTCCCAGTATTGCTGCCGGGTTTTGTACATATATTCCTTTATGATATTTTTGACCTCTGATTTACTTGGTGGCACTTGCAAGTCAATTAACTGTCGTTTTAATGATTGTTTAGCCAATGTGTCTACTTATTCATTTCCTTCCACCCCTACATGAGCAGGAACCCGAAGGAAGGAGATCCAATCCCCTGCAATGTAATCTGCGCAGCATATGATAAATAGCATACTTAATAGCCTGTCTGCATGATGATTTTCCAGCTTTAATGCTTGAAAATGCTTACAAGCTATCAGAGGCAATTACGGCACTGGGTTGATTGTTATCTTCCACCCATTGTAATGCTAATAATATTCCAGTTAATTCAGCTTTGTACACCAACAAGTGATTTGATATTATCTTTTTAACTGCTACCTCACAATGAAGCACAAAGAATGCAGCATCCAAGTGCCCAGTCTCTGGTTCTCTTGAACCATCTGTTAATATGAATACCTTGTGTTTGTGATTATCAATATATCTTTGCACTATTGTCCACCGTGGTAGTTTTTTCTTTTAATTTCTGTTGCAGACTTGTAACTACGGACAGCATAATGAATCTCCACAAAAATCATGTTTATTTCCAAGTAGGTTTTCACAAACAAGGGTTGATTGATTGATTTTATCTCACATATTGAAATGCATAGCGTACACAAATGTGCATGCAGAACTCGAATTCATCAGGATATTGCAATAAAATCACATGACTTATTCCCATTGCAGTCATGAAGTCCAGGCATGGAGGCAGGCAGGAAAAAGGATTAACATGTATGTGCTACTAAAATCCCAGTTTTACTCTAATAGACTACAACTAATTAACAAAACATAAAAACATTAAAACTATACAATCACAACAGTTATAAAAACCCACTCAAATTCAGAAACCAGTCCAAAACTTAGAACTGATGTTTCATTGTTACTCAGCATCTAATTTTTCAGCAGTTTTTTAAAAACTATTTACAGAATAAACAGACTTAATTTCATTTAGCATTTTATTCATCTCCTTTCCATCTGTGTACAGAAATGTGCATCTTCCTATTTTGCTTCTTATATTGGGTTATTTCAGGTTAGACACAACTAGCCCTCATATTCAGGCCATGGAAGTCCTGCACATACTGAAATTACCCAGTAAAATAGTTAAGACATAGACCCTGTAAAATCTTGTAGATGACAAGGAGCTTTAGCTTTTGTATTCTACCTTCAAGAGGGAGCCAATTCAACTCTTTAAAAAGGTTTGCGCTAATATGCGTCCTTGGACTTAGTCCTAAGTTCTACATTGTAGGCAACTGGACTTGGTCGAATTTCTTGAAAACATTTCACCTCTCATCCAAGAGGCCTCTTCAGTTCATGGCTTCTTCATCTTCATGAACTGAAGAAGCCTCATTGATGAAAGGTGAAACATCTTCAAAAAGCTCAAGCAAGTCCAGTTGCCAATGATGTAGCACTAAGGATTACCATGACCTGGATGACTGAGAACTTTCACCAACATCATGGACTTAGATCAGTGAAGGTGGTCAGTAGTTTGTTCAGAGCTTTTAGAGGCTTGAAGCTTTGGTTCTTTTATTATTTTGTTCTGTACAAGGTTATACAGGCAGAACTGTAGTGGCACTGATATAATGCTGCAGCTAATGTCCTGATGGTTTCCTAAGACACTTGGATATTATTGCCAGATAGCAAACTTTGTCTTTGAATGGACCATCCAATGAATGAGCGGGTCGTAGATTGACTCTTCATACACTGTTCCAGCTCACATCCGAGGTAATTATAACATAACAATTTCCCTGTGTCTTTCTTTCTATTACATTCACCAAAATCCTGGTTAGGTTCCTTAATTTATACCTCGTTTCAAAAACAGTACACTCAGATTTTTGTCAGATACATCTTGAGGTCTTTGCCAAGTGATATTCTAACTCTCTCTAACCATAAGCTGCCTCCATGTCATATGTGTACAGTAAAAACAATGACTATGCTTCCTCAAAGACGCCACAGGTAAGGTTCATGGGCTCTGAGTTAAGTAGTAAGACAAGGTGAGAAAAACAAACGTATAAATGCATAAAATGCACAAAAAACAGTGCCTCCATTTTTGACTGGAACAATTACAGAAACTTTTTATGTTTTCCACAACACTGCCGATTAATCAATTCACTCAAACGACCAATCATTCCAACTAATAATCGTGCACAGTTCGGTGCCTTACTGGACAGCATGTCACATAGTCTAATGAACTGCACTACTAATGTGGCCTGCTGTTCGGCTGGATACTGTGAATGACTACAGTTGTAGTGACACGTCTTGGCCGCTAGGTGGAACTGCTCCTTCGCCAATGAATGAGTTGGGTTTCTGTTCAAAGATTGTTTATTATTGCAACAAGAATTTTAAAGATTTACTACATAAAAACACAAACTGCCACACCATCCAGTGAACTAGTGTTCGGTAGGTCTGTTTCTATGGCAATAATATTATCCATAGAGTTTCTTCATTAACCTAAACTGATGACCATACCTGACATAAAGCAGCTTTTCTCAAAACCGCTTCCCATTTATGTTTCAGTAGTGTTTTTTGTGTCATTTGATTTAAATAAATTTAAATGAATGTATTCACATCAGAAGGAGATATTTTGAAACTTTCTTTCCGACCTCAATTTAGGATAGACTATTAATTTTTAATCCTTCACTGATTGTTCTGGGGGAGGTGATAAGCTAGTTGATCAATTAAAGCAGAATGAACTGCAGATTTAGGCTTCGTATTAGGTCTATTCCATAGACAATGACAAAACTAACTAGCAAATTAACCATTCAGACAGGCTGATAAAAAGTAGCCTAATGGTTTCTGATTGTTACAGTGAGGCAGAGAGTAACCTACAAGACAAGGTATGAGATGATTTGTCATAAATACTGTAAGACACTATAGGCAAACTAATTTTAGATTTTTTTTCTTCTTTCTTTTGTCTTCATTTTTTAATTTGTACTTTTTGATTTTAGTTTTTTTTTCTTGAGCCTTTATTTTTGAATTTTAAATCTCTTCTTGAATGACATTTATTTATTTATTTATTAAAGCTGGATAGACTTGATGCAAATAGAGACAATCTGTTTCAATCATAAAATACCACAAATTCTGGTTCATCCGTGGCATTTCTTTTTGATTTGCATTTATTTTATTACTGATAGAATCAATAATACTTACATTGCAATGTGTAGCCTAATTAATTGTTTGAATAGAATTCAATTGCTCCATATTTGTTTCTATTTTTTAATTTACCACAGACCCATGGTGTATTTGTTTTTCCAGATCATATATTATAGCATATGATTTGTTTTTAGACAAAAAAATCCCATAATTATCCCACAATTATTTTTTGCAGTATTTATTTATGTATTTATTTACTTATTTGTTGGTCTTTCTTAGGTCTAAAAACCGCTTGGCTGACCACTAACAACAACCATATGTTTTTAGGGCCACTGTGGTCCAGGGCCCCTGGTTTGGGCGGCCCTGCTGATTCAGGCGGATAGGGAGCAGGAGGAGGAGGAGGAGGAGGAGGAGGAGGAGTGTGTGTGTGTGTGTGTGTTTGTCGACAGACAGTCAGTCAGAAGGACCGGAGTCCCAGCGGCAGTTTAGGAGAGTCTAAGCGGGGAAATCTACGTCCAATACGGGAGAACTCACAAGGGGGAATCCGCGATGAGTTGGGGAACGGAGCTATGGGTATGTTGAAACTCTTTAAATTGTTTTTGTGTCTCACTGCTCGGCTTGTTTGCTTTGTGTTTTGGTCCCGTCAACACACCGACTGTTGTGAAACCGAGTGGAAGAAAGGTGCCGTGTTACCTTTTTAGCTTTGTGTGAAAAGGCGAGCGGCTAACATGAACGCTAGCTGGCCGGCTGCGCTGTTAGCCGGCGAGGCTAAAGCTAAAGCTAGTCCGCGGTGGGTGCACCTTAACGGCTGTGACAGCAGCGGAACAATAGGCAGGACTGCAGACACACGGGCACGACAGCCGGGGCGGGGGTCACGCTGCCTTCTCCGCCCGGTTACTTATCAACTAAAACAACACATGCTCTGCTGAAATGGTGTTTTTGTTTAACTGGCAGGTCACGAAACTGTATCTTGATGTTTTTCTGAGTGTCACACCCTGTTTGAAAGAAGAAGAAGCTGCTGGCAGGGACTCCCGGTAGCAGGGTGGAGAATCCGGGTCGAGACCCCGTTCTGTTCGGTCTGCTTAAAATGAACCTGAACTTCGCAGGCGTTTGTTTCACTCACAGATGGGCATAGCATGCCTCTTTGTTGCCAGTTATCCAGCCTTTTGTCTTAACTTCCATGTGATTAGAAGGGACACATGTTAATATAACAGTCGATATAATTCACCTCCCGACGCCTGCACTGCCTTTTAGCCATTATTATAACTGGAGTAGCTAAAAACAAGTCAGTCATATTGGATTTTATTACTTAAGTTACATCACTTAAACATGAGCTGCTGCTGCTGCTGCTCTTTGTCAGTACAGTAGATATCTGTGAGTGAACAGGATGCTTTTACATCAGCCCCTGGGATCAAATAGGATGTTATAATGTGGGTTATTTGCATGTTGCTGCATGAATTTAATTTATTGGATATTTTTTTGAATAAGAGGCATAGCTGACATACTGATATTTTTGGGGTGTTGGCCATCACAAGCTGTTGTAACCAGAGAGGCAACCAGCAGCATCCTGTGTGTGTGTGTGTGTGTGTGTGTGTGTGTGGCGAGAGAGAGAGAGAGGAGGGGGTACTTCACCCTCCCTGAGATGATACTCCTCCGGCTGACCTCAGTGGTTATTATCTGCAGTTTAATATAAGCTAATTTTTTGCTTGCTCAGCCCTCAAATGTAACATGACCATGCTGCTACAGACAAAGAGATAACTGTTTGCTTGTCTGTTCAAAAGGATCATGAAGTTTTTTTTTTTACACATAGACACAGATGTGATTTGTCAGGATTTCAGTGGTTATTTTGGATCTTCCCATTCATATTGTCCATTCAGTTTTTCTTCCTTTTCTACACCGGCATTTGTTTTGTGAAGTACCAAGTATAGAGAATGATCAGCTGTCTCAGTTTGTGTTCCCAGTTAGACAGACGGAGAGACTGGCTAGTGAACGTGGGTTTAAGACTGGAAGAGACATGCAAATGTTATTGACTGAATATATTAGAGCCTGATTTAAAGGTGTGAATTTGGTTTGAGTCGATTTTCTTATCAGAAAAAAGATTAGATAATACTTCCTGTTTCTAGATGCTGCTACCGTTTGATTCAGTTGCATTAAGGTATAAGAATGATCATACCAAGAAAACTATTTAAATTGGTCCTCAGTAGGGTTGCAACTCACTACTTACTGCTACCTTTTTTATCAGCAAATTAATTAATCCGCTAATTGTTTCAGCAGTGTTTGTGAAACTATATCTAAAAAAACACAAGCAGTAGGGCATCAATCCAGCCATATGTCAGTATGTCTTTGATCGGTAAAGCTCAGTATCACATACAATTTCTTGATGTAGGGCATAAGAAAAGAAACACTGGGAAGAAATTCAAGATTACGAGAAAATGGTTAATATCAAGTTTTAACAGTTGTGGAAATACTGCTGACACAGTTTAATTAACAGCAGGATTTAAAAAAAAAGTTAAAAATGTAGAAAATCCACCATCAGAAGCCCCAGTGAAATTAATCCAAGGAATGACCTTAGTAAAAATAACTTAAAATTGAAATGTTAACATATTCCTTTCCTCTCTCGTTTAACCTGTTATGGTTCATCTCTGCATCGCCTTTTCGTCAGCCCTGCAGCAAAGCAAACTATGATCTGCTGAGTGGGGACACTTGCTGACAGACCGTCATAATCCCCTCAATCCACTGATGAGATTAATGTGTTGGCTGTCTGATGTCAGATTACACATGATTGGCTGCCTGATGTCAGATTACGGATTACCGTCCGCACGATGGGATGTAAAAGTGTTGATTGGCTGTTGTGTTTTACAGATGACTTACTGTCTAATGTCAGGCATTTTGCATTACTTCTGCCTTATTTCAAAGGCAATAGATGCCTGGCTGTCTGATCTCAAATGACACATGATTTGCTGTCCAATAGCAGAGAGATTACGGTTGTTGGCCAAATACCATTAACATGCCTATTTAGGTAATTGGTTGTCCCATGTATAATGTTGACGGCTGCACTGACTCAGCCATCATCAGGTTGAATGTTTTCAGATTGCTTGTTTTATTGGACCAACAGTCCAAAACTCAAATACATCTGATGAACTGTCATATAAAATAAAGAAAAGCGGCCAATCTCCGCATTTTAGGAGCTAGAACCAGCTCATTTTGGCATCTTGTGACCCCTTAAAATCAAGCTATGTCTACTGCCAGCCCCTAAATATTGTGTTGTGATCAATTCATACAAAAAGTAATGCTTTCCTGTGTTTTATTTGAATAATTTTGACAAGCTTAGAGGGTTAGAGGAAATTCTAAAAACCGAAACACAGTTTCATGTAGCAGAAATATGCCTTTTCTTCTTTCCTATCTCTTGATCATCTTGTTAGCCCTCAGATTTTTCTCACAACCCCCAAATAATTATTTAATCAACAAACTATTTCATCTCTAAATTCCATCAGTAGGTGTTTCTTACATTTTAAAAACAGCACCATATTAATAAAAAGCATCTAGCACGCAATGCAGCATTATTGTGTTCAGTGAAGCTCGGTGCCTTTGCTTTTGCCCTGCGTTCTGGCTCTCACCCAGGTCTTTGAGACATTACAAAGCGAGCGAGGAACATCCTATTACTGTGCTGGCTTCCTGCCCTCCGAGACACACACATAAAGTAGGAAGTGTTGGTCTGAATTAAAACTCTGTGTGCGTTCTGTGTGTGCGCTTAGTGCCCGGATGCTGCCATGCTGTGCTCTGGTCTGTCTGGTTGAGGTGAGCCGGAGGCCAGCGGAGTGGTGCAGCCAAGTCTGACTGAAGGACAAGAGGCTGACGGGCAGTCGTCTCCACTGATCGGCCAAACTCAAAGACAAGGATAAAGGCTGGGAAGGTAGAGGACAGAGGACAGGCTTTGAACAGCTGGCTAGACTCTTGATTTGACTTTGAAGTCTGTCAGCTGTTAAATGGAGAAGAGACACAGACCAATTGTGGAAACTCAGATTCAGTTAGCAGCAGTGAGCAGGTTTTTTACCATCTTGCAGATCATGGGGTCACAAGAGTTTGTTTTTCCTTCCTTTGTGTATTGTGTGGATTTTGAAAAGGCTTATTACTGCGTTCCCCCAGGTGTTCTATGGGAGTTCAGTTGGAGAACGGGATACTGTAGTGTAAAAGTTCGTGTTCAACAAATCAAGTAGCAAGGTTAAGATACATAAGTTGATTAAGAGACAAAAAGATCATATAATCATGTTTCATGTACAAGGCATTATAAGACTCCTTGATCTGCATCTGAATATGATAAAACATTGTTGTATATGTCAAAGTATTCATAGCACCAGACTATGTAATCATGTTGTATGCACCTACTGAAAGAACACACTATGTCTTGTTTAATGATGAAACACATACTGAAATGTTGTAATACACACACACATTCACATATTGTATTCTAAAGGTTCACTTTGTATAAGAATAAGAGCACTGAGGACTGTATAAAAAGTCCCCAAAATTCACATGTTTTTTAAAAATAGAGTGAAAGCGAAACCAGACCTAAGGGTAGAAGATTTGGGAAATTCCAGGCTGCATTACACCATTAAAAACGGGCCCAATCAGAATTGGACACAAAGAAAAGTTTTCCACCAATAGAATTGGACTTGAGTGGGAAGGATTAGCAAAAAGAGGTGGAGACTCATTTGAATCTCCACCAGCATATAAGCCAGGGCTCTGAGAGCAGTTTTTCAGTCACACTCCGGAGTCTGACTCGCTAAGTTGTGTGTGTTAAAGCCTGTTCACACATTAAACTTGATTGCATCGGACTTTGCCTGTTTCCAGTGTTTCTTTAAGTATTTACCAGCTGAACCTAAGATATCAAAATCAACATCTGAGGACAACTGACAAGAGACAAGAGGTTCAAGGTCGGGAGCCTACAGGCCCACTTCCAGGCGCCGACTTTTGACACTTCAATACCAGGGGTATATTTGAATCATTTGATACATGGAGCAGGGTGGTTGTTTGTATTCTTGGCATCAGGTGGCCGTGGTACTCAGACAAGAATGCTCGATATCCCCACTCCTGTTTGTGATATTTATAGATGTAGCCTACAGTATAACAAGGTCTGGAGTAATCCCAGACCGCAGGGGTAGCATCTCTGCTGCTTTCACATTATGTTGTCTTGCCTTATGGGAGTATCATCTCAGATTTGGATGAGGAATGCTTTTGAATATTAAAGATACATTTGGATGTGTTTTTGTTGGTGATGCTAAAGTATGTAAAAGTAAAGTCTTCATGTGCATTCTCTGTGTTTAACTGAGTTTAGTTTAGTGGTGATCGATTGTTTAGTCAATCATTAGAAAATTAACTTGCAGTTATTACTTTTTAAAATAATTTCACAAGCAAAAATGTCAAACATTCACTGGTTTCGGATTCTCAAATATCAGAATATGTTAATTTTCTCAGTTTAATAGAACTGTAAATACTTTTGAGTTTTGGACAACTGGTCAAACAAAACAAGCAATTTAACAGTGTCTTCTTTGAGTTCTCTAATTTGACTTTTT